AAGCTTCGCCAGATGCTGACACAACTTTATTATTCGTTCGGCCTGTTTCAACTGGTTCAACTCAAATGGGTAAATAATTTTTATCAAATTTACGTGGCTTAAAAATCGGCAATTTTTTTTAAATCGATGTGAAATGACCCAAAAAAATACGTTAATAATAAAAAGAAAATGCATACCGAAAAATCACATTAAAGTTTTGATGTGACGTCACGTTTTGTGACGTCACAGGTAATGTTAACCATGCATTTTCCTATTAAACCCCTCAACATCTAACTTACAACGTATATTTACGAATGAAACACCCTTGTTTTTCTTAGGCTTTCAATGCATAACGACTGGCTACCTGTCCTTAGATAGACTGTGTGTCAAAAGACTCTGTGTTATTACTAGAACTAACACTAGACCAAAAATTAAAAACATTCGGATTTAGTCGCACGTCTCTCAAGACAGCTAAACCCGAATAATTCTTGTTCTAGGTTTTGTGTTAGTTCCAGTAATGGTGCTAGTGTAAAACTAGAACTAACACTAGACCTAGAACTAGAAAGCGTCTTCAGACGCATGGCTAAACCCGATGCTTTCTAGTTCTAGGTCTAGTGTTAGTTCTAGTTTTAGCGCAATAAAAATATGCAACATAGAACTAACATTAGACCTAGAACTAGAAACATTCAGGTTTAGCCATCTTAAGAGACGCATGGCTAAACCCGAATGTTTCTGGTTCTAGCTCTAGTGTTAGTTCTACTTTTCTTTCAATAAAAATACACTACAATCCAACGCTAAACAACGTCTAAAACTAGAACTAACACTAGACCTAGAACTAGAAACGTTCGGGTTTAGCGGCACGTCTCTCAAGACGCTATAACTGATACAAAAATATTATGACATAGCAAAATAAAAGTACTAGTTAAATTGCAAATGAAAAATTTACAAATTAAATCAAGCTAACTCGGACGATTGTCAGAGGAGGTTTAGATAAACAACTCTGATTTTCCTAATCGCCCGAAAATACTGTGATAAGAGGAGAATAAAAAAAGAGAAAAAAAGGAAAGCACAGATAAATCGAGTAAATACGCAAAACGTGACAAAACAGAAAAAAACAAAAACAAAACTGTTTTTTAAAGCAACATCAAAAATCAAATTGTAATTTATAGCCTTTTTTAAAGGCAAGCACTGATCTGAGATCGCAAAGCTTCCGGAAGAGAATTGCAAAAATCTACAACTCTGTAAGAAAAAGACCTTTTAAACAGTTGGGTGCTATGAGGCAGGATAGACAAGCAGTTCTTTCTGCGGACGTTTATTTGATCTAGAACTAGAAACATTCTGGTTTGGCCAGCTTAAGAGACACATGGCTAAACTCGAATGTTTCTGGTTCTATAAAAATATCCCCCTCTAAATGGATATGTCGCATCTGGGTGACAAAGAATCGAGTGTTGTAGCAGCAATTTTTAAATCTGTAATGAAAGGGACGCAAAAGATATCACTTAACAGAAGAATAGTTTTAGTAGATAGTCTTCAGCTAGTAGTATTGTATTCTCCAAGCACTTAGTAGTGTTTTGACAGCAGTATATAGTTTTCTCAAAACATTAAATAATCTTTGCCAACAATATCTAGCTTTTTCCAAGTAATTAGTAGTCTTTCCAACAATATTTAGCATTCTGAAAGCAGTTAATAGTCTTTTGAAAACAGTATCTTGTCTTTCCAAGCAGATAATGGTTTCTCCCAGCAGTATTTAGTCTTTTCCAAGCAGGTTGTAATCTTTTCTAGTAATATATAACGTTCTAAAAGCAGTAAGTAGTCTTATGGAAGCAGTATCTCGTCTTTCCAATCAGTTTGTAGTTGTTTGTTAGCACTATCTAGTCTTCTCCAAGCAGAGTGTAATCTTTTCCACTAGTATCTAGCATCTTTGAAGCAGTAGGTACCTTTTTTGGAAAGTATATTTATTCTTTTCAAGTAGTTATTAGTCTTGTCTAGCAGTATCTAACATTTTGGAAGCAGTAAATAGCTTTTTGGAAAGCATATCTCTTTTTCAAACAATTATTAAAGTCTTTGCATTTATTCAAGTCTTGCAAGCAATATTCCGCCTTTCCAAGTAGGTCAAAACCATTAACAGCAGTGTTTAGCGTTCTGGAAGCAACAGGTATTATTTTGAAAACAGTATCTAGTCTTTTGCAAGTAAGTTATGGTCTTTTTCTGCAGTATCTAGCATTTTACAAGCAGTAGGTAACTTTTTGAGATAATATTTCCTCTTTCCAAGCAGTTTTTAGTCTTTTACTAGCAGTATTTAATCTTCTGATGGCAGTAATTAGTCTTTTGCCAACAATATCTAGCTTTCTCCAAGCAATTAGTAGTCTTTCCAACAATATTTAGCATTCTGAATAGTCTTTTGAAAACAGTATCTTGTCTTTCCAAGCAGATAATAGTTTCTCCCAGCGGTATTTAGTCTTCTCCAAGCAGGTTGTAATCTTTTCCAGTAGTATATAACGCTCTAAAACCAGTAAGTAGTCTTATGGAAGCAGTATCTCGTCTTTCCAATCAGTTTGTAGTTGTTTGTTAGCACTATCTAGTCTTCTCCAAGCAAAGTGTAATCTTTTCCACCAGTATCTAGCATTTTGGAAGCAGTAGGTACCTTTTTTGGAGAGTATATGTCTTCTTTCCAAGTAGTTATTAGTCTTTTCCAGCAGTATCTAACATTTTGGAAGCAGTAAATAGCTTTTTGGAAAGCCTATCTCTTTTCCAAACAATTATTAAAGTCTTTGAAAGCAATAAGTGGTCTTGCAAGCAGTATTCCGCCTGTCCAAGTAGGTCAAAACCTTTAACAGCAGTGTTTAGCGTTCTGGAAGCAACAGGTATTATTTTGAAAATAGTATCTAGTCTTTTCGAAATAAGCTGTGGTCTTTTTCTGCAGTATCTAGCATTTTAGAAGCAGTAGGTAACTTTTTGAAATAGTATTTCCTCTTTCCAAGCAGTTTTTAGTCTTTTACTAGCAGTATTTAATCTTCTGATAGCAATAATTAGTCTTTTGCCAACAATATCTAGCTTTCTCCAAGCAATTAGTAGTCTTTCCAACAATATTTAGCATTCTGAATAGTCTTTTGAAAACAGTATCTTGTCTTTCCAAGCAGATAATAGTTTCTCCCAGCGGTATTTAGTCTTCTCCAAGCAGGTTGTAATCTTTTCCAGTAGTATATAACGCTCTAAAAGCAGTAAGTAGTCTTATGGAAGCAGTATCTCGTCTTTCCAATCAGTTTGTAGTTGTTTATTAGCACTATCTAGTCTTCTCCAAGCAGAGTGTAATCTTTTCCACCAGTATCTAGCATTTTGGAAGCAGTAAATAGCTTTTTGGAAAGCATATCTCTTTTTCAAACAATTATTAAAGTCTTTGAAAGCAGTAAGTGGTCTTGCAAGCAGGTTTCCGCCTGTCCAAGTAGGTCAAAACCTTTAACAGCAGTGTTTAGCGTTTTGATAGCAATAGATATTATTTTGATAACAGTATCTAGTCTTTTCCAAGTAACTTGTAGTCTTTTTCTGCAGTATCTAGCATTTTAGAAGCAGTAGGTAACTTTTTCAAATAGTATTTCCTCTCTTTAAGCAGTTTTTAATCTTTTACTGGCAATATTTAATCTTCTGATAGCAATAATTAGTCTTTTGCCAACAGTATCTAGCAATCAGGAACCAATAAGTTAAAAATCTTTAGTTTATAGATGGTAAACAACGACATTTTAGTTGTTGTGTGTCGAAAACTTAACAAAAAAATTACTTTTTTACGTTTTACTTACTTGAGTAATTTTTAATCTTACTTATTTTTTTACCAATAGATCTTCCAGCTGGAATCCCCGTAGAATTCTTAGTTGGCTTTAAAAATAAAGGCCAACAAAGTTTCATTTTAGAAACGATTGACGCATCGTTCCGTTACCCCATGGATTTTAATTATTACATCCAAAATTTCTCGGCGATTCATTACAACAGAGAAGTTAAACCAAGCCAAGAGGCGACATTAGCGTACAGTTTTGAGCCATCAGAAAGTTTTGCTGGACGTCCCTTTGGTTTGAGTATTAACTTAAATTATCGCGACGAATTTGGGGCTGCTTTCCAAGAGGCCGTTTTTAATGAAACCGTGCAAATTATCGAATTGGAGGAGGGACTCGATGGCGAAACTTTCTTTTTGTATGTCTTTTTGGCAGCCGGCGTTGTTTTGCTTTTGGTTATTGGACAACAAACTTTGTTATCAGTCGGGCGTAAACGCACAGGTCGGAAAGCACCTGTTGAAACTGGAACTAGTAACCCAAATAACGTTGATTACGAATGGGTACCAAAACAAGCTTTAACAAATAGTGAGTTTTTATTTTTGATATGGTTTTTTTAATGGATTTTTAATATTTAATTTTTTTTTTTGTTGTAGGTAAACAACAAAAATCTCCAAAGACACCCAAACAAAGTCCAAGACAGCGTAAAGTTAAACGTAATACCGGTTCGGAATAGTGACTGAAAGTTAAATCTTAAAAGTTGTTTTTTTTTACAATTTTTTTCTTTTGTAATTTATTAAAGATCCCTCATGCTTGTTGTTTTTCTTCGTAATAGTAAGCTTAATGAGTTTCCGTTTTTAAGACATATTATTTTTATTCATTTAAAATTGTATTTTTCTATTTCTTTCATATACAAAGTTGTGATTTACTGGTTAAAAATTAGTTAATGAGTGGATGCAATGTGTATATATTATGCACAAAAATCATCATTGTCATTTTATACATTCATCAGTCTTCTAATAAAAAACGGTTTTTGTAGAACTTTCTTTTATGGTTATAAAACATCCTTTATAAACCCAAACAAAACCTTTTTAATCGTTCCTCATCAATTTCATTGAACCATAATCCATCCTTTTTATAATATGAACCAACAATTACCCCATCAGCTCTTTTATATTCATGAAAATTCGCATCTGTAATTCCAGACCCAATTAAAACGGGGATTTTTAAATTATCTTTGAGGTGATCTAATTCTATTCTATCCGCGGGGGCTCCTGTTGATGTTCCAGTTAAAATTACACCGTCTGATAGGAAGAATTCAGCTGCTTTCGCTGTTTCAATTAATGAAACATCAGAAGTTATTGAATGTGAGCTGCAAATGAATTAAAAATAGTAAATATATAAACGCAATAACAATTTAAAATCTTTTAAAATTAGTAATTATTGATCCTTTTCTAAAATTGAGGTTATGTTTGCAAAAGTAAGGTTAGGACGTTTTTTTTTATCACAATCTTTTACTATAGCACCAAAGATGTTAACTCATTAGCTAAAAAGCTTAATGAAGACACCATGATTATTGATTTCAAAAGCAACCAATACAAAAGTATTATTTTACAATTGACAAATTATGCCTTGTTACAATTAAATAAAATTTGTATCATTTTTACCTATGTTTCTTTTTAATATCACTAAAAATTAACACGTTTTCTGCATCAATTTCCTTTCGATATCTTAATATGTCCCCAGCACACGCATCAGTAAAACCTTCATCAGCTACGTGAGAAAAAACGAATCCTTCCACACGTACAAAGTTTAAATGGCACGCTTTAGCAATCGCTAATGCTTCTTTATTACCACAAGCTAAAACCTTAATTAAAAAATTTAACAAAAACTGATAAAAATGTATTTACTTGTATTCCACAAGGCATATTTTGACCAATAATCTTTTTAATTTCCGTTGTTATTCTAGTCATTACAGCCACAGTTTCAGGTTTGAATCGTTTTGATTGTACATAAGGGATATCATGCATGTTTTCAATTAGGAGGCCATCCTAAAAATTTTATTTAATTAAACGAATCTTTTATTTGTTAACTTACAATGTTGTGTTTGAGGTAAATTTCGGTTTCTTTTAAAGCCGTATCAATGATTTTTTGTAACGAACCATCGTATTTGGGAGTACCTGGAATGTTTTAATTGATTTATTATAATTAATGAAAGAAAAATTGTCTAATAGAACCTGGTAGAGCTCGTAAATGAATCATTCCAATTGTGGAAATTTTATTATTAAATAATCGTTTGAATCGGTTCATTTCAAGGAAAAGATTTATTAGAATTTAAAAAATTAATTTGAATAATTATTTTAATTAATTCCTAAATATTTAATTTAATTATACAAGCCTTATGTATTTTCTCGGTAAAGAATGTTAAGAGATAAAAGTAATAAGTAATAATGTTTAATCCTTAGAAATAAAACTGAAACCTTGTGGTTGTCAAAATTTTTGACATAACCTCAATCTTTACAAGTCATTTTTTACTCTGTACCAACCTAAATTTGACTAAAAATTAATTTAACTATTTATTTTAATTAATTTCTAACTATTTTAAATTATTTACTACTGTTTTAATTATACAAACCTTATCTACTTGCCCTGTAAAGAACGTTAATAAATAAAAGTAAGTAATTGTGTTAGAAATAAAATCAAATAATTGCGGGTTATACCGTTTATCTCATATTTTGACATAACCACAATCTTTATAAAAGTCATTTTTAACTTTGTACCAATTAATTTATATTTTAAATTATTTACTACTAATTTAATTATATAAGCCTTATTTACTTGCCCGGTAAAGAACATTAATAAATATAAGTAATAACGGTAGAAATAAAACTAAAACTAGAAATTTTGAGGTTATGCCGTTCGTTTCATATTTTAACATAACCTCAATCTTTATAAAAGTCAGATTATTATTTTAATTTTAAATATTTTAAATTATTTACTACTAATTTAATTATACAAGCCTTATTTACTTGCCTGGTAAAGAACGTTAATAAATATAATATAAGTAATAATGGTAGAAATAAAACTAAAATTAGAAATTTCTAATTTTAGTTTTATTTCATTTGGTAATCTAAATCATTGCAAGCAGGACAAATAGTTAATATGTGTTTTAACATTAAATTATCTACGGAATATAATTTCCAGTACGTCTTCTAATGAAAAAGGTGAGTTTCAAATCGAATCATTTTTCGACAAGGAAAAAGTAATAGATTAATATTTAACTTTTTTAAATTGTTTACTTAGTTATTTAGTCAAATGTACAAAGGACAAGCTTCAGTTATTATTTATTATACATAATACATATATAAGAATATATAATTTTTTCTAACTTGCTACGAAACCAGCTATGTTTTTGCTCAAGTTACGGTATTTTGGAACGATATTTTTGTGTAGTGACCGTTCCTGGAGCGGGACACGGTTATGAGCGGTATTGCCATCACTAATAACTAGTCTTGGAAGCAGTATTCCGCTTGTCGAAGTAGGTCAAAACCTTTAACAGCAGTGTTTAGCGTTCTAGAAGCAATAGGTATTATTTTGAAAACAGTATCTAGTCTTTTGACATGTCTAGTCTGTGACAGTAAATCCTACGCCTTCCGAAAGAGAATGGATGCAGGAGTTTCAAAAATATTATTCTATGCCGCGGTATAATAAAGACACAGATATATTACAATGGTGGAAAATTCATGCTTCTGAATTTCCTATTTTAAGTTTAATCGCACGAGATCTCTTAAGCATACCGGCTACTTCAGTCCCAGCGGAAAGATTATTCTCACGTGCTGCATTAACTACATTAGCATAAGAAAATATAGAAATCGCCATCGAAATTATAAATCTCCACGATGTTTGTTATGCCTAAACGATTGGGTGAAAAACAAACTCATTTGCGACCGACAGGACTGAGGGCTGTAATTCTCTCTTCTGATTGTTACATTATAGTAAATATTTAAGTATTCCTTATTGTACTGAAACAATAAGATTATGCATGACGAGATTTCGATACTTTTATGAGACTCTCGTACGAGAAACGAGACGAGACGAGAGTGGAGGTTGCGAGACGAGACTTGATACAAGACTTATTAGTTCATCGGCGAGACGAAACAAGACTTTATGAAAATCTCGTCTCGTTGGTTTCGTGCGAACCACTATTCTTCAAGCAGATTATAATCTTTTCTAGTAGTATATAGCACTCTGAAAACAGTAAGTAGTTGTATTGGAAGCAGTATCTCGTCTTTCCAATCAGTTTGTAGTTGTTTGTTAGCACTATCTAGTCTTCTCCAAGCAGATTGCAATCTTTTCCACCAGTATATAGCATTTTGGAAGCAGTAGGTACCTTTTTTGGAGAGCATATCTCTTCTTTCCAAGTAGTTGTTAGCCTTTTTCAGCAGTATCTAACATTCTGGAAGCAGTAAGTAGCCTTTTGGAAAACCTATCTCTTTTCCAAACAATTATTAAAGTCTTTGAAAGCAATAAATAGTCTTGGAAGCAGTATTCCGCCTGTCCAAGTAGGTCAAAACCTTTAAGAGCAGTGTTTAACGTTCTGGAAGCAATAGGTATTATTTTGAAAACAATCTTCAACAGTCTTTTCCAAGTAATTTATAGTCTTTTACTAACAGTATTTAATCTTCTGATAGCAATAATTAGTCTGTTGCCAACAATATCTAGCTTTCTTCAAGCAATTAGTAGTGCTTCCAACAATATTTAGCATCCGAAAAGCAATTAATAGTCTTTTGAAAACAGTATCTTGTCTTTCCAACCAGATAATAGTTTCTCCCAGCAGTATTTAGTCTTCTCCAAGCAGGTTGTAATCTTTTCTAGTAGTATATAGCGGTCTGAAAACAGTAAGTAGTCTTATGGAAGCAGTATCTCGTCTTTCCAATCAGTTTGTAGTTGTTTGTTAGCACTATCTAGTCTTCTCCAAGCAGATTGTAATCTTTTCCACGAGTATCTAGCATTTTAGAAGCAGTAGGTACCTTTTTTGGAGAGCATATCCATCCATTCCAAGTAATTATTAGTCTTTTCCAGCAGTATCTAACATTCTGGAAGCAGTAAGTAGTTTTTTGGAAAGCACATCTCTTTTCCAAACAATTATTAAAGTCTTTGAAAGCAATAAATAGTCTTGGAAGCAGTATTCCGCCTGTCCAAGTAGGTCAAAACCTTTAAGAGCAGTGTTTAACGTTCTGGAAGCAATAGGTATTATTTTGAAAACAATCTTCAACAGTCTTTTCCAAGTAATTTATAGTCTTTTACTAACAGTATTTAATCTTCTGATAGCAATAATTAGTCTGTTGCCAACAATATCTAGCTTTCTTCAAGCAATTAGTAGTGCTTCCAACAATATTTAGCATCCGAAAAGCAATTAATAGTCTTTTGCAAACAGTATCTTCTCTTTCCAAGCAGATAATAATTTCTCCCAGCAGTATTTAGTCTTCTCCAAGCAGATTGTAATCTTTTCTAGTAGTATATAGCGGTCTGAAAGCAGTAAGTAGTCTTATGGAAGCAGTATCTCGTCTTTCCAATCAGTTTGTAGTTGTTTGTTAGCACTATCTAGTCTTCTCCAAGCAGATTGTAATCTTTTCCACGAGTATCTAGCATTTTAGAAGCAGTAGGTACCTTTTTTGGAGAGCATATCCATACTTTCCAAGTAATAATTAGTCTTTTCCAGCAGTATCTAACATTCTGGAAGCAGTAAGTAGTTTTTTAGATAGCATATCTCTTTTGCAAACAATTATTAAAGTCTTTGAAAGCAGTAAATAGTCTTGGAAGCAGTATTGCGCCTGTCCAAGTAGGTCAAAACCTTTAAGAGCAGTGGTTAACGTTCTGGAAGCAATAGGTATTATTTTGAAAACAGTATCTAGTCTTTTCCAAGTAAATTATGCTCTTTTTCTGCAGTATCTAGCGTGTTAGAAGCAGTAGGTAACTTTTTGAAATAGTATTTCCTCTTTCCAAGCAGTTTTTAGTCTTTTACTAGCAGTATTTAATCTTTTGATAGCAATAATTAGTCTTTTGCCAACAATATCTAACTTTCTCTAAGCAATTAGTAGTCTTTCCAACAATATTTAGCATTCTGAAAGTAGTTAATAGTCTTTTGAAAACAATATCTTGTCTTTCCAAGCAGATAATAGTTTCTCCCAGCAGTATTTAGTCTTCTCCAAGCAGATTGTAATCTTTTCTAGTAGTATATAGCGGTCTGAAAGCAGTAAGTAGTCTTATGGAAGCAGTATCTCGTCTTTCCAATCAGTTTGTAGTTGTTTATTAGCACTATCTAGTCTTCTCCAAGCAGATTGTAATCTTTTCCACGAGTGTCTAGCGTTTTAGAAGCAGTAGGTACCTTTTTTGGAGAGCATATCCATACTTTCCAAGTAATAATTAGTCTTTTCCAGCAGTATCTAACATTCTGGAAGCAGTAAGTAGTTTTTTAGATAGCATATCTCTTTTGCAAACAATTATTAAAGTCTTTGAAAGCAGTAAATAGTCTTGGAAGCAGTATTGCGCCTGTCCAAGTAGGTCAAAACCTTTAAGAGCAGTGGTTAACGTTCTGGAAGCAATAGGTATTATTTTGAAAACAGTATCTAGTCTTTTCCAAGTAAATTATGCTCTTTTTCTGCAGTATCTAGCGTGTTAGAAGCAGTAGGTAACTTTTTGAAATAGTATTTCCTCTTTCCAAGCAGTTTTTAGTCTTTTACTAGCAGTATTTAATCTTTTGATAGCAATAATTAGTCTTTTGCCAACAATATCTAACTTTCTCTAAGCAATTAGTAGTCTTTCCAACAATATTTAGCATTCTGAAAGTAGTTAATAGTCTTTTGAAAACAATATCTTGTCTTTCCAAGCAGATAATAGTTTCTCCCAGCAGTATTTAGTCTTCTTCAAGCAGGTTGTAATCTTTTCTTGTAGTATATAGCGTTCTGAAAGCAGTGAGTAGTCTTATGGAAGCAGTATCTCGTCTTTCCAATCAGTTTGTAGTTGTTTTGTAGCACTATCTAGTCTTCTCCAAGCAGATTATAATCTTTTCCAACTAGTTATTAGTGTTTTCCAGCAGAGTCTAACATTCTGGAAGCAGTAAGTAACTTTTTGGAAAGCATATCTCTTTTCCAAACAATGATTAAAGTCTTTGAAAGCAATAAGTAGTCTTGGAAGTCTCGACGCGCGGCATAACCTCAAAATTTTTAGTTTTAGTTTTATTTCTTTTGATAATCTAAATCATTTCAAGCAGGGCAAACAGTTAATGTGTGTTTTAACATTAAAGGACAAGCTTTAG